GTTTTTGAGCGCCCGCAGCTCCTTCTCCACGCGTGCGAGCTCCTTTTCGCGGTCCTTGGTGATGGCCTTGGTCTCGGCAATCTGCCTCTGCATCTCCTTGACCTGCTGTCCGGCGTTGGCCGTGACGTTGAGGACCTGCGCGAGGTTACCCGGGACTGACGATTGCATCGCGGCCACCTGTTCCTTGAGCTCACGGTTCTCGCGAGAGAGCTCGCTGTTGGAATGGTTGGCCGTCTGATACGCATCTCTCGCGTAGCTTAGCTCGCCGTCCCGGCTCTCGAGCTTCTTCTCGAGCTCTGCCACCTTGGCCAAGGCCTTTTCGAGTTCTGCCGTCTTCTCTTTAAACGTCTCCGTCGCGACGGAGCCGGCGTTGACGAGGGCTTCTTCGAGAGTGGCGCTCTTGACCTTTAACTTCTCTTCGAAAGCCTGGGCCTTTTCTTGCCACTCGCGGCTCTTTTCCAGGGCCTGTTCCTCCTTTCTCTTTGCTTCATCGCGCTCAGCCTCGAACTTGGCCCGTTCCCGAAGCGACGCCATGTGTGCCGCCTGAATGGAGTTGGTGGTCTCGTCGTAGCTCTTGACCCTCTTGGAGAGATTGATGACCTGTTTCCGGAGATTGGACTCCATGCTGTTCTTCTCCTCTAGCTGATGCTCGAGTTCGGACACCTGATACTCCGTTAGCAATCTGTAATGTTGAGCCGTGCCAACGCTCCCTACCTTATCCGTTAGAGTGTCCAGATGCTCCTGGGTCGTCTGGACGTGCAGCTGTGACGGTCGAGGATTCAACTGACTGCGAACCGCTGCGTCAATGTCTCCCGGATCTTGTCCAGGGAGCGGGCTGACCCGAAGGCGTTTGACAGCTTGCTGCTGCTCGCCATCCTACGCACCTGATTAGCACTGATTCTGTACCACAAAAGGGCAACCCACAGTCTTGCGCTTGCGGGTCGGCTCCTCCGCCTGGCTCTCGGGCTGGCTGCTCGAGTACAAGTCCAGAACAGAGGAGGGGATAAGCTCAGGGTCCCAGTCGAAGCCGGGGTCGGGAAGGATTGCCTGATTGGCAAACGAAACTGCGTAGTGATCAATCATGACGCCCTGGTTATCTCTTTCGTCAAGATAGCTCATCTTTCTTGACTGGCACACGGCGATGCATAGCGCATTCTGTCGTACCAAGCCCGTGAAATCCGCCGGCAACAGTAACTCCAGGTGCTCGATAGAGCACGTCGTCGTGAGCCTCAGCAACATTGGCTTCTTCCCGTTCATCTTGCCCCATTGATCAAGGAGGTCTGTCTGCAAAATGCCATTGTCGAATCCAATGACGACGTCAAAGTCGCTTAGGTCATCGACGAGAGCCTGCTCGGAGTGCACGAGAACGACGAGCAGAGAATGCTCATCCTGGCTTTCCAGCTCATGCAACCCCTTTCGCGAGTATGCCATATCCCCGGTGCCGACGATAGCCTCGAGGTACCCGATGACGTTGATATCACGCGCAAGAATGAGTATCTTCTTGTGGCTTGTCTGGAGTCGCTCGAGGAATCGGCCCACAAAGAAAAACTTGCTATTGGTGCCCATGGCATGCTTCTTGAGGTCTTCTGCGGACAAGGCATCAATCGAGTCACCGTCGAGAGGCGCGGGCATGTCGCAAATGTCGCGAAGCTGGCTGAACATTTTGCCAATAGACTCTATAGCGGTTTTATCGGGGATGTCTTCCTCGGACTGCATATCCTTGGTGAATTGCTCAATCATATTGCGATAGGACTTGATGGTGCTCCGATACAGGGGGCGAATGTTGGCCGGAAACGAGAGCGTAACCAAGTATTCGCTCTGGTCCACGGTCGTAGGGGGACCTGAAAGGTATGGCTCTTCAATGTCCGGCGAAGTGACAGTGCTCTGGTCGCCTGCGGTGGTCTGGTCTTCCGGCAGCATATCCATAGGATGGTCCTCGGGCTGAGGAAGTGTGTTCGATGCCTCCTCGGGCTCGACTGATCTGCTAATGTCTGAGGGGGATATGGTGATGGGAAGCTGCTCGGCTGCTTCAGGTGGCATGAGATTGCTGGGAAAGATGTCTCCCATGCTAGCAGTTTGGTGCTCTTCGTGGATCAGAGGCTCCATCGCCGGCTCGACCGGGGCGCCGGCAAGTCCAGGCATATCTGTAGACGACGTGACTGGCTCTCCCATGGTCCAGTTTCCTGTGAGAGGCGGCTGCGAGTTGATTTGGATGGATGGATGATCCATGGGCGCTGAGAATGCAAGATCCGCGACCAGAGAGGGGTCATCGTGACGAATTTGAGCCGACTCAGTCGTCGGACTCGTCAATCCTGCCTCGCCTAATGTGCCTTGCAACGCAGCTTCTTGGATCCTCATCAGCTCCTCTATCGCCGAGAGTGGTTCATCGCCCGAAGTGTCCATGGCTGGAGGTAGACTCAGCGGCCGATCAGAGCCCTGAGACTTGTTGGATGATGAGGGATGAGGGGGGAGTGACCGTCTTTCGAAGCAAGTCTGAAAACTGTCGGCCTCGGAAACCTCGTCCTCGTCGCGTTGTGATGGAGGCGAGCCTGAACTGGCGACTGTGGGACTGAAGCGTATGCGCGAAGGTCTTCGACGGACGGTATCAGGGACCACAGGCTCTTCCGTGGAGCTCTGGCTTGCGGAAATATCCAGGAGAGGTTGAACGACTTGAGCAGCTTGCGTGTTCTGGCTGGGGCGTGTATCAGAACAAGCAATGACTTGCTCAGTCGCCCACTCCTGATTTTCGGTCTGTTGTTGCGACTTGCTGGAGGCGCTCTTCGCTGATGAAGTTGCTTGAGAAGTCGAGGTGTCGAAATCAAAGGCAGGCTGGGTGAGGAAAATGGGCGTCCTGGTAGGCTGCGAGTCCTGGGGATAGTCTCCAATGGCGGAGTTTTCAGCCTGCTCGACTGCGCGCAGGTCGTCGATCTGATGAGATGGAATTGACCTATCAGAGACTGAAGGAAGGGAGTCGTGTTCACGTGAGGCGCGTCGAGGTGGGTGCGATGCTGCAGGCTCTACGGCGGAATGCCGATTAAAAGGTGAGGCTTGGTCGAGGTCAAAGCTTGGGCCCTGGCTTGGTTCAGGGCTGTTCTGCGTCAAAGGGATGTAACCCGACGACACCGGCTCCGGTGGGTGATTCTGAGATGCCGGGTGAGGCGACTCCAAGGGTGTCCGACGCACAAAGAAGTGTGAACGGTGATCCGCTGGACTGAGGTATCGGGCCTGGGAATCCGTAGACTTACTCAGGGAGGTCCTCAGGCTAGACTGCTTTTGCGAATCCGGAATCTCACGCTCGACACAGGCGTCCCCTTTGTTGCTTGTCGAGGCCCCTTGTCTGTTGGAGAACGGCGAGTCCTGGGTATCGAATGCTGAGTACTCTTGAGAATCGGGGATCGTCCTTTGACTGAGGCCCTCGGTGATGACTACTTGGCTGTCTTCGTCTTCAAGGGCCGAGATGGGCTGCGAGCTGAGCGACGTTGACCCTCGCGAGTCGGATATACTAATGTATTCTGAAAAGTCGCGATCTACTTTGGAGGGAATCGCCACGAAGAAGCTGGCCGTGGTGTTGTTGTATACAACATCCGAGGCAGCGTCGGTATCAACCTCTGATGCCGACGACAGCAGGGAAGGAACCTCACTAGGGTACCGCTTCTGCTGAGGTGGGTTCGAGTCGTTGTCCGAGTCCGGATTCTGCAGATCTTCTGACTGCCTAGACTGCGGTCTCCTGCGTCTGTTTGCCGTCTGCACGGGCTGGCTACTGTCGATCGACCTGGTGGACGGAGTACGCGCCGGTGAGCCCTGCTGTGCTACACCTCGGACGTCCCGCAATACAGGCTCTCCTGCTGGCGCGGTGCCGTCTTTTTGATAGACCAAATCGAGTTTCCTTCTCCAATCGAATATCGCTTTCGAGGTGACGTCCTTGCTTGGGGCCTGGTTGGAGTTAACAATCGCTCCGATAAACAAGGGGGGGGGCACTTAGACTTACCCACGTGGGACGGTATCGCTCGCCGGTTTCCGGGTTGTCTTCCCAATCGACGAGATATTCAATATTCGAGCCGTTTCGCCTTTCTTGTAGGATATCCTTAATGATGTACCATTCCTCCTTTGGCTGTTCCTTGTGCTTCTTTGGGTTTTTGGAGCTGCGGCGCGAGTCCCTCGGCATTGACGAGTCGCGATCCACCTCAGCAGAGGTGGTGTGTTGTTTTGGAGGTGCTCGTTGGCGCGGCGGATTGGGCTGGCGTATGCGGTTTCGGGTCCATAAGTATCGCTGATCTCGGGCAGATGCGCGCGTGAGGTTGCGATATGTCCGAGCAAAGTCGCTAGAAAGGACCTACACAGGTCGCACGCGAGGCTACCGTTGCTATCGCAGCTCGTGAAGCTCAAGCCCAAGCTGGGAAGACCACTGCGGGTCCACCTGCAGCCTGCCGTGGCTTGTGCACGAGCCACAGATTCAGCCAATCAAATGTCGCCGACAGCTCACTCAGGATGGCAGTGGTTGACGCCGTCTATCAATGTCTCTAGCACAACTGCGACAGCTGTAGGTCCGAAAGTTTGGTGGAAGAGTAGTGTGCGAGGAAAGGCAATGGCTGGCATCTGGGAAAGTGTGGCCTGGCGGGACGTCGCATATAGTACCTGTTGGTCCGTCGGGCCTTGAAAGCGTTCAAGCTCTCGGCCCCGACACCTGCAGGCAAACACATCATGGCAACAGCCTCGTCACAAAGAACCTCGACTCTAGGGAGAACACTCATTAAACCATTCATCAAGTCCACTAGCGGTACCGGTGCTACATGTGCTCCGAGGCTCCCATTTACGGACCAGTCGACCCGCAGACTCCCTTCTTCATGACAACAGCGCTGAATTTTGATCGTCAAAGATATCTCATTCCGTGAACCACATCAAGTCTCTTTTTACTTGTGATATACACGAGTCCCTGGTGACTCCTTTTACCCCGCGCCGCGATGAAATCCAGAATAAACTTTTTTGGTTCGTTGCGCCGTTCATACGTAGCCCTTGCGCGCGCCCTGGAAGAAGAAGCGAACGATAAACACCTGCAGAGCTCCCATAAGCACGATGAGGGCGCACTGGATCATGCTGAAGTTGATGATGCGGCCTTCGGTGCTGCGGACAGTGCTGAAGTTGCGGTTCTCTCTGGTGCGGAAGTACTTCTGGCCTCTCGAGATGGTCGAGAGCTGGCCGGAGAGCTTGAAGATGGTCTCCTCGAGGGTGGAGTGCTGTTCGGGAGAGGCACCCTGCTTGGCGGGAAGCTGAGCGCGAACCTCGTTCTCGACCTGGATTGGCATGGGTCAGTAGAGCTTGGGTTGGGAGTTATTCGGGAACGTACGGCAATCTCAAAGTCGACAAACTTCTCGGCAAAGGTACTCATCTCGTTGTTGAAGCAGAACTCGTAGTCGCCCATCTGCTGGGCCGTGAAGACAAAGTCGCCCTGGCGCTCCTTGGCTCCATCGAGGATCATCTTGTTGCCCGGGCCGGTGACGGTGTAGTCGACATCGAAAGAACCACCAGATTGGACCTGTTACGCATCGCTGTTAGCTTGATGCAGCACTTTGAAGTGGTGGTGAACGCACGGCAAAGTAAAAGGCAATCTTCTCGTTATCCTTCTGGGTCTTGGCGTAGAAGCAGGCCTTCTCGTTGGCGTGGAGCTTGTAGGTCAATGCCGTGGCAGCGACCTGGGAAACGAAGCAGGCGAAAAGCCCGCAGGCAATGGCGGACACCCTCATGATGTGTTGTTGCGTGGGGAGAGTCCTGGGTGGGCGCGTGAGGGTATCTCTCGTCGACTCGTGAAGCAGGGGATTCTGGACAAGCTGTCGCCAAAAGGGTCACTTAGAACGGGCCACGATTGAAAGTTCGGCGCGGAAAATTGGCGCCGCTACGCCCCTTGGGAGCACGCACGGGCCAGCGGCAGCGCTGCGGGAGAGCAAGGTGGCACCTTTGCACCTCCAGTCCACTGTCCCCACAGCAGCAACAGCTCCCTCACCAGCCACGCTCACATGCAACGGGAGGTGGCTTGTTATCGGTGTTTCAGCGCGTACGGGGCATATCATCAATCAGTGACCTCATCTCTTCAGAAGTCAGCTCAGCTGTCACGTCACGTCTGGCAGAGCTTCCACCTCCCTCTGGCAGGGCAGGTCCACGGAGTACCACCTGCACATTCTATCAAACCTTCTTCCATTGTCTCGTCCTTTCTCTTCAATACCCAGCTGCAAGGGGAGCAGCTCTTGCCTTTTTTTCTTTCGTAGACGATCCCTGCAAACTATTTAATTCCACTATTCCTCCACCAGTTCAATCTTTCGCATCTACAACCTGCAAGTTCCAACATCTACCCACTACGGAGCTCTCGGCGTCATGGCGGTTCAGACGCGCATCGCCACCACATCCTCAATCGCGTTGAGAGCGGTCTCGTACCTCTTTCTGCGATGGGTAGGTTCTTCAACTTTGTCTTTTAACAATTGGTCGCTAATCATTGGATGCAACTTTAGTTCCCCGGTCCAGTAAGTTCCACTTATTCCCGAGCGTTTGACTGTCCAGGCTTGGCGCATCGTGCTGATCATGGTTGGTTTAGGCTGCTGTGCCCATGAGCATATTCGCACTCTTTGCAGTCTTTGTGCCTTCCTTCGTATCTGGCTACATTAATGAGCCAAAGTACGATGTCGTGGAGGACGACGTGGACGTGACGGTCAAAGAGACTGTTACCGAGGATGTCGGCGGCGCCACCAACGGCCATGTCGTTGCTGAAGAGATCCGGGTCGAAGAGACTATCGTCGTTACAGAAAAGTCCAGCCCACTAAAGACGCTCCTGGCGGGAACACCGAGCTCGACCAGCCCTATTCTTTCCATCTTGACCTTCCTGATCAACTTGGCATTGGTCGCAATGACGGCCGACTTCTTATTCCGCGTTCGACAGTACCATCCGGTCGACGACCTCTCCTTTGTGCGTCTTGGCTATGTCTCTCCGACAGAGGCAAAATTCGTCATTCGCGAACCCGACCAGGCCAAGATGCCCGTTACGCTCGAGATTCACATCAAGGACCCGCAGCCACCCTTTGACAACCCCATGTGGCAGCTTGGTGGCGGGCTGAGATTCACCGACAACACGACCGACTTTGCGACAACCTTGACCGTGCCTCTGAAGCACTCCCAGCAGAGAGTTTATGAGTGGCGCACGTCCAACAACCACAGCGGCGAGTTCGTGGCCCCGCCTAGAGCTGGGCAGATGTCGACCTTTAACGACAACAAGTTCACCTTCTTGTCGACTTCGTGCATCCTGCCACGCTTTCCGTATAACCCCTTGGAGCACGCCCTGGCGATTCCCGGCATGCGCCATTTGGCGAGGGTCTTACCTAGTCTGCAGGCGCAATTCATGCTCTTCTTGGGCGATTTCATCTACATTGACGTACCCAAACGCCAGGGCAAGAATGAGGAGGACTACCGCCAAAAGTACCGTCACGTCTACGCCTCGCCGGACTGGGCACCCGTAGGACAGAATCTCAGCTGGATTCACGTTCTTGATGACCATGAAATCGGCAACGACTGGTCGTCAAACACCACTGGCGTGTACCGGGCCGCAATCGAGCCGTGGCACCACTACCAGGAGCTGGCCAACCCGCCTCCCGCTCGCGTTGCCGGCACCACAAACCTCCGCAGACAGGGCGCCACCTACTTTGAGTTTGTCCAGGGCCCCGCGAGCTTCTTCATGCTCGACACGCGCTCGTACCGATCCGACAATGACGTTCCTTCCGACAGCCCGGAGAAGACGATGCTGGGTGCTGAGCAGCTGGAGGACTTCCTCGCCTGGCTGAACCGGCCTGAGCCCAAGGGGGTCAAATGGAAGATTGTTGCCTCGTCGATTCCCCTGACCAAGAACTGGCCCATCAACCGCAAGGATACGTGGGGAGGTTTCCTGGTGGAGCGTCGCAAGATTTTGGAGGCCATGTGGGATGCTGGCGCCAGGGGCGTTGGTGTTGTCGTCGTCTCTGGCGATCGCCACGAGTTTGCGGCCACCAAGTTTCCCCCTCCCGCCGATGGAAGATGGCCTGAGAGCGCCGCCGCATACGAGTTCTCGTGCAGTCCGCTGAACCAATTTGCATCACCGTTGCCAAGCTACAGACAGACCGACAACGAGGATGTGTCTCTCAAGTAAGTGCAGTCGCAGAACATTCAAGGTACGATACTAACAGGCATAGGTACATCCACTCTGGCAACTCCAAGTTTGGCTCTTTGACCATTGAGAACCTAGCGGAGGGGGAGCAGAGCTCTCTCAAGTACAACCTATACATTGACGGCGAGATCGTTTGGAACACGATCATCCTGTCACCCCCGGTCGAAAAGGCCCCCAGCTCGTTTTGGGATAAGTTGAAGGGAAACTAGGATAGATGGGTAGATAGAGGTGACATGGTCAGCATCAGAATTTGAATCACACGTTATTGCAAGCAAGGCATTGCAATTCGCGCCCTGTTTCGTTTCCGGCGCCGGTTTTCATCCGCACCGAGTGTACACACCAGAGGACTGTTGCTCATCTTTCGTCTACCATCGTGTAAGCCCCACCGGTGCTGTCGTAGACTTCGTTCACAGGAACTTCGAATTCCTCGCATCATCACCGCTGGCCAATCGCAGGGGCAACGTTTGGCCAACACCGGCATGCATCCTGCGTTGCGCTACGGCACCCCCTCTCCCGGACGATGTTGTCCAGCCCCCGGGAATAAGAGACCGGATGACGGTCTGCTACGCCAACTCCTCAATGACAATCGGATTGCCTCACACAAGTGCGGAGAAGCAACCTGCATGAGCTCCAAGCCGAGATAACATCGCCTACCCCATCGAATAAGTGAGTCTCTCACCCTTTCATAGAGAACTAGTCTCTAAGCAACCTCAAATCTTGCAACTTCAGACTTGAAAGATAGGTGAAAAGAGAAAAAAAAAAGGACCAGAGAAATGGCAATGAAGCGCCTCCAACAGCTCGGCAACCAACTCACACAGACCTCTCCTAAACCAGACGAAGAGACAATGGCCCCCGCAGACTCCAAATTCGCCCTCGACGAAAACGGCATCCCGCCGTTCGAGTCGCTGCCCCTCGGCAAAGACGACCCGCGCTTCTCGGCCTGGGGCCTCTACGGCGACAAGGACGAGCTGGGGACGCTGAACAGGTTGACGGACGAGCGCGTCGCTGCTGCTGCGAAGGAGGAGATTAAGACGGGCGCGAGGTAAACCTGACCATCTGAGCACATCGCCATCGTCGTCCTCCTCCACGTGAAGTCCACAATACCCAAACCTTGAACCATGTGAAGAAAAGGGGATTCATGAGATGCGAGATGATGGAATCTTGGGGGGGAAAAAAACTGACGGGACCGCACAGAGTCTCCCTCAACTGGCCCCTGACAGCCCAATCCGCCCCCTTCTTCAACCGCCGCGCCTTCCACCACGACCTCTACCGCAAACACCCGCGCTTCGTGAACGACGACGAGTGGACCTTCAACTCGCAGTCGTCGTCGCAGTGGGACGGCCTCCGGCACTTTGGGTACCAAAAGGAAGAAAAGTTCTACAACAGCGTCTCCATGGACGAGGTCCACGCCGTGGACGAGGAGGGGAGGCGGTCGACTGTGAATGGGATCCAAGGTACCCATCTCTCTCGATTTCCCCTGCTCTCCCGATCGCTTCTTCCGTTTAGCTCTGTCGAGCGTCGAGTCTAACCCCCGTGCGCCTACCACGGTGTGCTTGGGTTCCAACAGTGTGCTGACAACCTAGAAAAGCCTGGCAGAAACACGGCATCGTCGGCAGAGGCATCCTCGTAGACTACCACACCTGGCGCCTCGAGCAAAACATGCCTTACGACCCCTTTGCGCGCGACTCCATCCCCGTGGCGGATCTCCAGGCCTGCCTCAAGGCGCAGGGCACCGAGATCAAATTTGGTGACATACTCATCACCCGTACAGGTATCTCCCTCCTCTCTCCCTCTCTCTCTCTTTTCTGTCTTCTCTCCTCTCGCCCCCAATTCCCATACCACGTCCCTCTCTTCCCACATCACAACTCTCTCACGATAAAATGACTTAAACAACAAAACGACAGGCTTCACAGCAACACACGCCTCCCTCCCCCCCTCAACCCTGTCCGACCACCTCGCCGCCAGCCCGCAAAGCTTCTCCGGCGTAGCCCAATCCGAAGAGACCCTCCGCTGGGTCTGGTCCAACTTCTCCGCCGTGGCAGGCGACCAGCCGTCCTTCGAGTGCTGGCCCCACCGCGACCCGAAGCACTGGATGCACGAGGTCCTCCTCGCCGGCTGGGGCATGCCCATCGGCGAGCTCTTCGACCTGGAAGCGCTGGCGGCGCAGTGTAAGCGCGAAAAGAGGTGGAGCTTCTTCGTCGTGAGCGAGCCGTGCAATGTCCCCGGCGGTGTTGCGAGGTGAGATCAAGAGTACCCCGTTTGACTTGGATTTGTTGAAGTCTGGTTTGCGTCTTGGCTAACGGATCGTATAGCCCACCCAATATTCTTGCCATCTTTTGAAAGTCTGGTTTCCCCAGTTTCCCTGGTCCTCTGAGACACCGTATACAAAACTGCCAAATGCAAGCGAATGTAAAACACTTCGAGGAACATGAGGTTCAGTATCTGTCACCAGCTTGGAGAAGATTGTCGGGGGTCTGTGGTAGAATAATCAACATGGTCACCCAAAACCCCAGACTTACGCTGTCAAACCTCCATCATGTAACCTACACTGTACACGATAGCCTACGGTTTAGCACATAATCAAGAACACGCCCCCAACACGCCCCCAGAGACCCTCGTGAAGTTGAAATGCTTTAATTGTATTCGTATGCCAGCTTTCCTAGCTGAGCTAATTTGTTGAAACAAACCAAGCCTTGACGCCCTAGTGTGCTATCATCCGCCGCGGGCCTTCTATCGCTAACACCTCTACCCCAAGTAATCGCCGTCTCATCCCTTGTGACTCTTACGGTCGCTGCTAATGTGTCAGTCAAAGGAACCTCAAGGGGCGGTGCACCACAACTCACGTGCTCAATCTCCTAGAAAGTTGCTGCAGCTTCTTGTCATTGGCCGCATCCTCGGCCGCCTTCTCCAACGCCTGCTTCCGGTCCTCATCTTGCTGCTTCACAACCTCGTCGTGGCTGGGTGGAAGTCTCTCGTTCTGCAAATCAACCTTGCGAGCATCCTCGAATGTGTTGATGGCGTTCTTGATACCCTCGGCGCCTAGCATCAGGGTACCGGCAGGCAATCTGCCACCGGAGACGGTCTTCAACTCAGTGACACGCTCCGACTCTTCGCGCAACACCTGGAATACACGCGAGAGACGGCCAATGGCCAGAATCTTGTTCTTGATAGCCCGTCTCTTGTACTCGATCGACTCGGGATCCTGCGAGGCGCCGGAGAGGGGCGGCGACATGGGGCCGGGGGATGTGGACGACGGGGTGGCGTCCTCCTTGAGCTCCTCCTCTGAGCACGTGCTGAGGATGGCGATGAGCATATCGGTAATCTTTTCACCGACAAAGGGGAGCGACCAGGTGAAGACGTCCATGAAGTTGGGCAGCCAGTAGGGGTGAGGCGTGCAGTTGAACTGGCGAATGTTCATGACGTTGTTCTCGTACTTTAGCACGGCAGCCTTGTTGTTGTAGACGTCGAGGTAATTCGGCGCGGAGAAGATGGTCATGACACTGGGGAAACCCGTGGTGCGAGTCTTACGGTACATGCGGTAGCCGGCGTCTTGCGCCTCGTGGGCACGAATGACGGAAAGGAGGTTGTTCTTCTCGAGGAATGCGCATGCGGCGGGGTATGAGAAGAAGTAGGAGCATCCGCGGACGTGGTTGTGCAAAAAGTAGTCGCTCGTCTTTTCTTGGCCAAAGTCCTCGAGAGGGTCGGCCCAGAGGATGTCGCACATGAGGCCCTGGGTTGGGGGCTCGCGGAAACGGTCAATCTGCGAGATACATCGTTAGCTATAAGCCTCGTACAGAGGCGAGTGTATACTCACGCTGCGCAAGTCGTCGAGAGTGTGAAGCTCCGGACTCAGGCCACCGTGAATGCACAGGAACTGCTTGTTCATGACGGCAGCCAGGGGCAGGCAGCAGAAGGACTCCATGCAGGCCTCGTAGATGGCCTCGGAGTACTTGTGCTTGCACTCGAGCTTGAAGGTGAAGTAGTCGGTCAAGTGGCGACACTCGTGGTTGCCGCGAAGCAGCCACAGAGTCTTGGGGTAGTGGATCTTCAAGCACCAGAGATACAGGACGCACTCGATGGAGAAGTAGCCTCTGTCGACATAGTCGCCGAGGAAGAGATAGCGCGTCTCGGAGGGGTCGCCTCCGACTTCGAACAGCTTCATGAGGTCGTAGTACTGGCCGTGGACGTCACCGCAGACGGTGATGGGCGCATCCATCTCGAGCAGGTTGGGCTCAGCGCGCAGGACCTCGGTACAGGTCTTGAGGATCCATAGAGCCTGCTCCTCGGTCAAGCGACCCTCGCGGTAGAAGTGCTGCTTGAGGAAGTTGATGTTGGGCTTTGTGTGGGTTTCGTCCTCGAAGAACTGCTCGTCAGAGGGCGTGAACATGGCGGGGGCCTGGACGTCTGTGGCAAGAAATCAAGTTAGCGTTGAGGTCACTGGGTTGCGTGGAGACGAGCTCCAGACGAAGACATTCGCAGCGATGACGGCGAGGCTGGCGGAGGCAAAGCAATAGCGGGAGCATCAAGCGTACCTTTGCAGACTCGCTCCATGGTGTTGACCTGGGTGCCATCTTCCATAGTATGAATGGTGAAATCAATCTCGGGCAGGGGCTTCTTCTCGCGAATGGCGCGGATGGCATTGTCGACCTGCTGCTGGGTGCGGCTGCCCTCGCCAGGCGTGCTGGCTCCCTCGGGGTCCATGATTGCTGATGATGTGTGTGAAGATTGAAGCGGCGAAATCGAAAGGGGGTACTAATCGGCCGGGGGTATCTATGATGGATACGAGGGTACTCGGATGGCAGAGAAACAGAGCGGTGAAGGGGAACGGTTAGGCGAGAACCAGCTCTGGATCAAGTCGCGATGGGAAAAGGGGGCCTGCAAAGAGGCGAGCTGGGTGTGGAGCGAAGTCGTTGGGCACGAGACGGCAAGAGACGAGGCCAGGCTTTGCGATGCGATGCGAGGGGTAAAAATTGAGGTGAGAAAGATAGGGCTGAGAAGGGGGAGTTGGGTGAAGGGAATTGGGACGGATGGGATGCACTTGGCCAGGTCTGTTCAGTCCAGTCCAGTGTTTGGAACCTAAAGGACCAGTCGTCGTCAGTCTCCAGTTTCTGGCTCGCTACGCAGGCGGGCACTTTACGAACGCTAAGTACTAAGGTACGGGAGGCGCCCTCCATTGATCAGTGATGCGGCATGCCAATCCAGGGCGTTCGGGGTGCTGGTGCTATCGCTCAGGTAAGCTGAGAGCTGGGGAACACGCACACCTCCATTGGATAGGTCACCTCAGATGAATTGGCAGGTGGCAGACGCCAAATGCCCGCGGACGGCGGGACAATGAAGCTGCGTGTACATCCCACCTGGCATCGGTTTGGGTGAGGAGACAAGTACCTCAACTGACCCCTCTCTTTCGTGGCGAGAGGCAGCCACAGGCGCCCACCTCAGTTGCCTTTTCTGCCCCTTCCCCCCACTTTCTTCCACCAAAGTTGTACCGCAGTACATCAAGGAAGAACGGTACGTACCTGCTTTAGATGATGCTTCGCAGCTTCTTACGCAGTAGACCCTTTTTCTTCCCTTCCATTTCCCCTCCCCCTCCTCCATACGGATAGCACCACAGCAAAAAGCACCAGCACTTTTTCCACTTCGCTTCGCCTTCAATTGCAGTGCACGCAGCCTGCAGCACGGTTCACCTCGGACTTGGCCAGCCAAAGATGGGAATATCACGACGCGTATTGGACGCAACCCGCTCGCCTGCCCCTCCTCCGCGTTTTCTCACCACACGGACACGGGCCCAATTGTCTTAGAGTCTGTCATCATTCGCAGCCCTCTGTGCTGGCCTGCGTTCTACCTCTATCCAGTCTATCGGCTGCACGTCTGTCTACTAGCATGGCGGCATGGCATCCCTGAGACTCGGCCGTGTAGCTGCACCATTCGAGCCAATGACCTTGATACGCAAGCAAGCTCCGGCTCGTCTTATCGGCTGATCAAGCAGCCCCCGAAACCCCTTGCTCGCCGGCCGTTCTTTCCTCCAGCTCCGCCATCGCACTCTTCTTTCTCTACGGCGTCATCATGGGTATCATTCTCTTCCGCCTCTTACGGCAAGCAGTAACCTCCGTCAACGACAAGATCGGATCCCGTGGTGTACGAGGCGGCATCCGATGCCAGGTACAAGTATGCGCCCTTGAGCTCGCTGGGTTCTCCCTCGCGTCTGTTGTTCAAGTCAGCCTACAGACTCACACATGATGCATCTCTGCAACTCACCCCATTGGCGTCTTGTTCCTCCACTGCTTCTTGGACTCTTCGTCGACGAAAGCGGTAATCTCGGTCTTGATGTATCCGGGCGATACCGTGTTGACGCGGGCAAAATCGACCCATTCAACAGCCAAGCTCTTGCCTGTGCACTAGTCAGTCCCGTTTAATTCCTCCACAACTTTAGCACTTACAGAGGTGAACGACGGCCGCCTTGGACGCGTTGTACACGGCTTGCGCCTGGGGGATGTTGACAACGTGAGCGCTCATGCTAGCGGTAGCAATAAAGCTACCAGTCGTGAAGCCTTCGAGCTTCTTGCCGTCGAGCGTTGTGCCCTCCTTCTTTTGCCTGCGGAAGTGCTCGCCAGCAACTTGAGCGCAGTACACGGTGCCATTGACGTTGACGGCCATGACCCTGTCGGCAACGTCCATGGGCCCGTCAATCAAAGGACCCTCTTCCCATGCGATGCCCGAGTTGGCGACAAAGATGTCGAGGCGGCCGTTGAACTCGGACACAATCTGCTGGATCGACTCCTGGATGGCTTGGTGGGAGGTGACGTTCACCGGGTACGCCTTGCCTGCGGAATGGTTAGCAACACGGCTAGGACATCTTTCTATAGCGCCTCCACGCACACTTGACGCCGTACTCCTTCTCAATCTCAGCAGCACGGTCCAGGGCCTTTTTGTTGCTGTTGTACCAGATGGCGACATTGGCACCCGCCTCGGCGTAGGCATGGGCAATCTGCAAGCCAATGCCAGCACCAGCTCCAGAGACAATGGCCGTCTTGCCCTTGAGAGAGAAGAGAGGCAGCACACGAGTGCTTTGCGGGGCCGCGGTGGCATCGTGCTTGAAAGCACCGTCCTTCATGTCGGCCATTCTTGCGACTGTCGTGGAAAAGGGCTGGAATCTCGCGGGGTTGCTGCTGCTGTTGCTGGCGACTGCGGCACGAGGAACACAGAGGACTCGGGGCCGCGAGACCGCAGCGCGAAGGGCGTGGCGGAACATATTTAACAAGCGTCGACTCGACAGGACAGGGAGGAATATTGCCGCAAGAGGGTCTCTTTTCTTCTTTTGCTAATTCACTCAAACAAGGTTC